GCTTTCTTTAGCTAAACTGAAGACACTTGCTGGGCTTGCTGACTGTGCATGTGGCAGTATCGGACCATCATGAACCTTTTTGACAGAGCGTCTGTGGTTGCTAACGAGTGCTTTGTGGAGCCCAATGCTGCTGTGATTGGGAATGTTTCTGGGGTAGCAAGCTGTAGGGAAGGGAGCGTGAGGGGAATGAGGAGGAGGGGGACTTTCTCTAGCTAACTGAAGACACTTGCTGGGCTCGCTGACTGTGCATGTGGCAGTGTCGAGACATAGGACCATCATGAACCTTTTCGACAAAGCGCCGGTTGTTCCTAAAGATTGCTTTGTGGCACCCAATGCGGCTGTGATTGGGAATGTTTCTGTAGGACAGAAAACATCAATTTGGTATGGCTGCGTGTTGAGAGGTAAGAGTCCTGCTACACATTCTATCTCATCTCTATGCTTCTGTGATCCTTTCAAAGGAGGGTCCTTTTGCTTTTTTTTTAATATGGATGGTGCAGTTCCAAGAATTCAAATGGGAATCGATTCTCGCTGCTTTGCACGTTGTTGGTGATGTCAGGACAAATGCCCTGCTGGAAAAGCAGGGAGGTACTAAACACAGTCTCTGCAGCAGCTTTGCAAGCCGAAGGGCAATCAATGTATCACTGTTTCATAAGGGATTTTCTTTCTTTTGTTTTCTTCTTTTTCTGAAGTGCCCTGCTTTTGTGAGGAATGTGCCCTTACGGGGCCCTAGCCAACATGCACATGATATGGGCTGTGGCCCCCAACAAGCATCGTGCCCGCCCTAAGTGAAGGCGGGCCTGAAAATCCACGAGAGGCCCTTATCTCAGCATTTTCCAATGTGGGTATCAGACAGTTGCAGCACGCAAGTTGGTTGGAGTGCAACGTGAGCCTCTCCCTGGGCTCCCTCCAGAGACAGCAGCTGCCTCAAGCAGTTGAGCCCAGGGACGGGTGGTTGCGCCCTGGGCACACGCAGTGTGAGGCGGACACATCACAAAGTGGCCGCGGGTGAATCAGAAAGCAGCATTGTTGTCACAAAGGCCCAGTGAGCCAATGGGAAGTCGGCAAACACTTGGAGCCTGGATGCTGCCTGGACGTGCCCAACCAGAAAAGGCCCAGGGCCCCAACTGTTGGACAGGGCCTGGACGCAGCCACTGGGGCCCGACCGGAAGCTACTGGGAGCTTCCTCAGCCAGGCCCATGCAGCCAAACAGGGCCACGACTTCCATATAGGAAGGTCGCTGGGCAGGCTGAGGGCATTCTGGCCTAGGCAGGCAATGCGGACACGCTGCTACGTTGCTGTGCAAGTGTCTGCATATGTGCTGCTGGCTGGGGCGCACGCGGGCGCTACGAGGTGAGAGGGGCGCTGCAGGGCAGTGGGCGCACAGCAGCCATAGCCAGGCTGCAGGGGCGCATGCGGGTGATGGGCGAAGGTGGTCTTCAGGTAGGAGGCGCAGGAGTTGGTGGTTAAGGTCTGATGAGGGGAGGAGAGAGAACGTACCTGGTGTATGTGGGAGGTCGGCATTGGTGTTGACGTCATATACATTGGTCTTCGACGTCGGAGTGATCCTGTTGCAAGAATGTAGATAGGCTACATAGGCTCAGTAGAGTAGGCTGGATGCTGGGCGCCAGACAGAGATGAGAGACCTTGGATGCTGTGTTGGTGGGGCCTGAGGGCGATAACATTGGCACACGAGTTCACTGCTTTGCTCTTATTTGGATGGAATCTTGGTGCATTTAAGCTCTCTGCTTGGTACATGACTATCTGGACATATTTGTGATTTCGCAACTTGGTTTTCTGTCTATTGCTCTCGCTCATATTCCTTGCACTTTGTACCAAAAGATGCAAACACAGTGTGTCTGTGCAGTGGCCATTGGCAGCCCGCAAAGGACAAGGGCAAATTGGCTTTTTCACATTTCACAAAGTCTGCAAACAAAGCAAGTGCCCGTCTTGTCAACGAGCAATACATGGTTCATGCAGCATCTATGCCAACAGTTGCTTTTCTCTGTGCCGCCTCATTTCTGGCTTGGGATCCTTCTCATTTGCATGTTCAGTACTCCAAGACCCTGTGCTGCCGAGAAATCAAAGCTGCATGCTTGACGTCTTTGATTGGATTGGATTTAAGAGAGAGAAGCACCAATACATTATAGCGCGAACTTTGGCAATGAACATTATGTATGTCAGATGAAGGGGAAACAGAAAGGTATTGGGGAACAACCTGGTAGGGGCGAAGATAATAACCCCCCTCCTTCCCACCCCCAAGCCTTCTTGTCTCCTCTTCCTCTCTACCTCCCTGCCTTTTGTCTCCTGTTTAGTGGTAACGAGAGCGAGAGCAGAAAGGGAGAGAAAGACAAAAACCACTTCAAAACAGCACCCTCTGCGTTTGTGCATGTGTGGTGTGTGTGTGTGTGTGTGTGTGTGTGTGTGTGTGTGTGTGTGTGTGTGTGTGTGTGTGTGTGTGTGTGTGTGTGTGTGTGTGTG